ATTAAAATAAGATGTGTAACAAGTAAAAAACATTTTAAAAATGCATAAAAAAGGCTTCCAAAATTTCAAATTTAATCAACAAAACTCGGAACTCTTCAATTTGAATTTCTTAATTAAAATCAATAACATAACTCGAATTTGTCAACAATAATTCAAATTTATTTCGTGGCGTAAGAGAAGCTAACACACAGAGAGAGAGACCAAAAACTATTTTACATTGCGATAGACGATATGAGTTTTCCATAAATAAATAAAACAAAGCTGACAAAAGAAATAACTTTTGTTTCCAATACATTATGAGTTCTGCGGATGGTAATCGAACTCGACGTCAACGTTGCAGTGATGGAAAGCACAACTACATTTACCTATTCTATAAATATTTATACAAGGTGATATGTGAGAAGATATAAGGAGAAAGCTTCAATATTTATAAAGCTTTTCAATTGCCAGTAAAGAAACAAGAAGAAGAAAAGCCTTCATACGAAAACAAACTATTTTCATTTTACTGTAACAATAACAAATTTTACGATTGTATTGGATAAAATAAGTAAGATACTCACTTTAGTAAGGTGCTAAAATATATTTAGGAGACTCTAAGATTGTCTTTTCTACTATAAATCACTAAAAAATTATCCTTTATACATATGTAGATGATAGGAAAGCCGGAAGACAGGCGCGCTCATGGAGAAAACTGCCAATACTAATATACTGTAGTAGTGATATACATATTCCTGGTATTACGAATATTTTAAATGTTTTTGGATTCTAAAACACATCTGGAGCACCAAAATGGAACATTTAAAAAATTATATTAAGCTAAAAAATTATCCTTTATACATATGTAGATGATAGGAAAGCCCGAAGACAGGCGCGCTCAAGGAGAAACTGCCAATAGTAATATATTGTACAGTACACTAACAGTAATATACCTATTCCTGGTGTTACGAATATTTTAAGCGTTTTTGGATTCTAAAAACACATCTGGAGCACCAAAATAGAGCATTTTTGTTAATGCTCTTTATTGGTATTCCAAATATGTTCGTAGAATTCAAACATTTTGAGGAAACATCTCTATCATTTTTATTCTTAGGATGAAGTAGCCGTATATATCTATGTTAAAAATTACAAAAATGCTTACTTTAATTATTATAAAAATAGAAATTAAGCTTTTCTGTCCATACTATTACATAAAATCCTTACTGAATTTCTTAATTTAATCTATTTTTACAGCAAGGTATTCTAAATATATTTATATTGAGGAATCCTATCCTTAAAATATTTTCTAATTTTAATTCTAATATAGAATTTTAAATTTTTAATTGAAATTCATGAAATATCCTNATAGAAAGTAATAGCCTAAATTAAATCGAATTTATACTTTTAAAATCGAACTTAATTACAAGAAGAAGAAATAAAGACGTTGAGCAGCATCACTCCTTCGAAGTTTCCTTTAAAATTTATCGCTTTTTATTCCAAGTTAAAGCAATTTTAGCTAGGGTAGTAGAGTGTATTATATCCATCCCAATCAATTCCACCCCAAGTGGAAATGAATGGGCTATTCTTCCAGCATTTTCAAGTTCACACATCAGACAACCAGTCTGTCGAAGTTTCTCTGACTGTATTGTGGTAATCGAAGACGAGGAGCGATTGCTGAAGCCAGGTGGCCTAGGGACAAGTGAGCCGTGACTTCGACTCCTTTTAAAATTGAAGTCATCCATCTTGGACACCCTACCTGTTATGTGCAGGGACAGTGATTTTGTCTGTGTTGAGCTTAGATATCAGTGAACCACTCTGTCTGCTTCCTATATACGGTGGTCGTTTCTGACTTGGATTGTCACATCGTGTAACTCGGTCGTTCGCTTCTTGCACACTCGATATTATATAAAGTACAAGATGTAGTATGGGCTACACGCGCCAAAATTTCCAGAAAGATAAAAAGAATAACCAATGAATAATGCGCTACTTTTCCTCTGCATATTTTTCATTCGGTTATCGTTTGAATATTCGAATAAAAAGTCGAGAAAATAAGAAAATAAATTATGTATTATCTTCTCTCTTTTTCCTTTCTTTCTCTCGTCGTTTCTTATTTATTCCTTAAACCATATCTATGTTAAAAATTACAAAAATGCTTACTTTAATTATTATAAAAATAGAAATTAAGCTTTTCTGTCCATACTATTACATAAAATCCTTACTGAATTTCTTAATTTAATCTATTTTTACAGCAAGGTATTCTAAATATATTTATATTGAGGAATCCTATCCTTAAAATATTTTCTAATTTTAATTCTAATATAGAATTTTAAATTTTTAATTGAAATTCATGAAATATCCTCTCGAACTCCTAGTTTCGGTTCCTAATTTTCTGTAGAAATATATTTATTTTGCCTGGAAATTTAGATCTTGTCTTCTCCTAATTTCTGTCTTACAATCATGCAAATTTAATTAATAACTAAAAATCATTAAGATGGAAATGGCTAATGAACAAGAAAACGACTTTAATCTTTTAAACAAAGTTACAATTCTTGTAAGGAAATAGCATCGAATTTATACCAAAAATTGGATTCTAACGAAACAGTAGAAACCCGACACTTGTCTACATTTTGGTGACATTTCAGACAGTTCCTGTGAAGATCAGATTTCTAACCGGAACATTCGGTTATCCTCTTTCTCTTCATTTCTGCATCCATCTTCGTCTCGGAATTTAAAATAATTATTTAAATAATCTTAATGTATTTTAAAATATTTAAAAATACATAATAAACGCTTGGACTTGCCACGTTTTTTAGAGATTGACGTATACGATGGAGTGGCTCCACCCAATCACTACAGTGTATTCATATGCATGGGTGATTAAATTCTACATTTGGTTACGTTTATCGAGTCATCATCCTCCCACCCTTAAAACACCATTAAAATGAACTATCATTGGATTTAGATAGGGCCTCAAAGTTTCAGACTTATTAGAGTGGATGAGATTTTGAGTTGATAGATACGAAACCAATAAAAAAATCCAGCAAAGAGTTGCTTAACTTTCCGGGCAACATTTAAAACTGCCCGTATGGTGCCATCTGTTATGATATTTTATTTAAAAGCTTTTTTATATTTTTAATTATTATAAAACAGCAAAAAGCTTAATGTTGGGGTAGGGATGGTTTTTATAAAAAATTGTAAATGTTAATGAGTAAAATCGTCATTAAGTTCTGCCCTACTCGAGATATGACATACGATCCCTTCTATCTCTCCACCCCTTCGATCTTTAACCACCAAAATTTAATAGCATCAATCCCCCTAATAAACAAACCTCCCTGCAAAATTTCAGAAATTTTCGACAAAATGCACCGAAGTTATTAAGCTTTAAAGAGAGTGAACAAAATCGTGTCCCCCGCACGCACACGCTGACATCCAGACATTTAGAAAAAAAAACTCGAATATTTTTTTGCATTTTTCGACATTTCAAGGTCCCCTGAGTCCAAAAATGTAAAAATTTTGGAGGTCATCAGTGATGCATTATCCTATGGGCAAAAAAAGGCAATTGCCTGGGGTCCCAAACAAATCTTTTATAACAAAATATTTCTCAAAAAATTCCTCCGAAGTTAACACCGTACTGTACATGGGGTTATCTAATTGAAATTTGTCTGGGTCCCACGAAGCTATAACGCACTATATATATATATATATATAAAACAAATAGAAAGTAATAGCCTAAATTAAATCGAATTTATACTTTTAAAATCGAACTTAATTACAAGAAGAAGAAATAAAGACGTTGAGCAGCATCACTCCTTCGAAGTTTCCTTTAAAATTTATCGCTTTTTATTCCAAGTTAAAGCAATTTTAGCTAGGGTAGTAGAGTGTATTATATCCATCCCAATCAATTCCACCCCAAGTGGAAATGAATGGGCTATTCTTCCAGCATTTTCAAGTTCACACATCAGACAACCAGTCTGTCGAAGTTTCTCTGACTGTATTGTGGTAATCGAAGACGAGGAGCGATTGCTGAAGCCAGGTGGCCTAGGGACAAGTGAGCCGTGACTTCGACTCCTTTTAAAATTGAAGTCATCCATCTTGGACACCCTACCTGTTATGTGCAGGGACAGTGATTTTGTCTGTGTTGAGCTTAGATATCAGTGAACCACTCTGTCTGCTTCCTATATACGGTGGTCGTTTCTGACTTGGATTGTCACATCGTGTAACTCGGTCGTTCGCTTCTTGCACACTCGATATTATATAAAGTACAAGATGTAGTATGGGCTACACGCGCCAAAATTTCCAGAAAGATAAAAAGAATAACCAATGAATAATGCGCTACTTTTCCTCTGCATATTTTTCATTCGGTTATCGTTTGAATATTCGAATAAAAAGTCGAGAAAATAAGAAAATAAATTATGTATTATCTTCTCTCTTTTTCCTTTCTTTCTCTCGTCGTTTCTCATTTATTCCTTAAACCGGTTTAAAGTATATAAGCGCACGACGCGTCGCGTTGCGTCGCGTCGTGCGCGAGTCGCATATAAATTTGCTTTATTTTCTCTATAAATTCATAAGAATTTTATTAAATAAAAATTCGTTATTTAAATGTCGAGGAAATTTAATTCTATGTTTTTATTTAATAAAATTCTTATGCATTTATTTTTAATTTGTAAAAGCATCTTTCAGAGCTTCCACGCGTTAATTTAAGAGATTTATTCAAATTTTGTTCAATAATTTAATTGTTTTTGGATATTAAAATAATTAGAAGCGATTTATTTTAATAAATTAATATTCAACACAATATGACCTGTAATTATTAAAACAATCGCCATCTTGAAACAAAATGGCGGATACGAGTAAAACTAGTTTTTCGTAGTGCCTTCACGTAAAGGACATAATTTTTGAATATTTAAAAATATAGAACTTAATATAACACTTTGTAACTTTGATCAAATTTCCTTGTAGAACTTCCTCGCTACAGGACAGCGTATGCCTGCGAAGGAAGCCAACTTCGAATATCATGTGAAGAAGGTTATTTAATTCGCTTAGTACGTGCAAATTACGGTCGTTTTAGCATCAGTATCTGCAACGAACATGGAAATTTAGATTGGAGCGTTGACTGCACGTCACACAGATCATTTTACGTCATACACGAAAGGTAAGTTTTTGAAACCTTTGCAAATTTAAGTATATGTAAATATAATCCACTCTAATTCAAAATCTAACTATAATTAACTTAAAATAACCCACCTGGCACATTGTATTTCACGCGCCGTTTACCTTTTATTAATTTTGAGATAATTATTTAACATAGACTCGGCTATACGACCAACTTAATTGTCAAAATTCATATAAAAATTTAGCAAACTACGCATTCATCTAGTCTACTCGTAATTCAATTATATTCTGTTGATTCTCTCTACGATGTGTCTGGAATTCGTCGTCAACTTAAAACCTAATTTATCACTGTTTTGTTTACAAATATAATATTCCAAACGAAATTTTATTATTAAATAAATAAAATTTTCATCAAAGATAAAAAAAAGGGATGTAATTCCCATTTTATTTATTTATTTTTTTAAAGAGAAATCGCATCAGTTGATGCTTAATTATTGAAATTTTTGAAACTCCTCCAATGGCTTTAGATGAAGATCGGTGTAAATGTAAAAGAGGAAAATCATTGATATATAAATCAATATGAAAGGCTGTAGGTTGACAGACATTTGGCACTTCTTACAAATAAAGCACAGGTCGATCAAAAGGTATCGAGGTGTAAGATCCCCGGAAGCTGGACGCAAGAGATACCACGGATTTATTGTGCTGGTTGCCAGTTCCCCTTTTCCCGTTTCACTTGCAGTTATATTGTGAAATATCTCCAACTCCACAGGGTATCTTTTGCAGGAATTGAAGCAAAAAAGGGGAATATTACAAAAGCAAAATGCATTATTTTCCAAATAGTTCACAACATCTAACGGAAGATTAAAGTGAAATATGATCTCTTTATGTTTCTTCACCACTAAAATTTTTGCTTGGAAATCTTAAAAACTTTCCTTCTTATGATGGCATTTTAATAACAGAATTCTTCTATTCACCCTTCTCTCTATATAAAATATATGTATAGAAGTAGGCTTATATTTTGCTTCATTTAGTTAATCACAAAGTCTTTCTGTTGTATAGTAGAAAAGCCGACTTTCCCCTTTAAAAAAAATATGATTTATGTCAGGGTAACACTCGTAAAAAATATTTTGTGGTCTCTTAAAAAATGGATTTTTCGAAACTCGAATCCTCTTCTGATAACTCTTATATAGATGTGAAGATATCGATATAAATTTCTTATATATATATATAGAGCCCGAGTTGATGGTACTGTAAATATTTTAGATAATTCACGACTAACCCCAGTTTGTAGCTTTCTAAACATGGATTTTATTGGTCTTCTGCATGTAAATTTGTGTAAAAGTTAAATAATTCTTAGAATTTTCATCAAAACAAACGTCGAATAATAATATGAATATACTCAGGTTCTTACAAATTGAAAATAATATTCAAAACACGAATTTTTTTTATCTTTGATTTAGTTGATTTATCAACGTAATTCGGTTGCTCGATTCAATTAGAATGTTAGAAAATAAAGATGCACACGTTTTGTTTAAACAATTTTTTTCGTTTTAATAAAAAAATATGATAAAAATTTTACATTAAGATGAAACAAGAAATATTAAATTATATTTTTTATTTTATTGTCATTTTTTTTAAATATTATCTTTGATTCTGATGATCTAAAACAGAACTACTCCCAATTCTTTCTTCTATCTAATACATTTTTTAACAAAATATATATATTTTTTATAAATAATAAATATCCTATAAGCTTTATTTTATTAATAAATTTAGAAAATATGCTAAACTTTTGTGTTTTCAAAGCTCTCTTGATCATTTAATCAAAGGCGTACATTATGTAAAATATATATAAAGATCCAGTCATGTTGGAGAATTAATGAATGTTTAAAACTTTTATTTTTAAAGTTAGCTGTACTATAATCTTATTAATTTAATTTAAGGTCAGATCAAAGAGCGAAAACAATCAAAGGAGAATAACTGGGTTCTCCGGAGATTCGTAACGTTTCTTTTTCATAAATATCAATCGATGTAAATGAAGCTAAAATTATTCTCGCTGTTTGATCCTAGTTGCAATATTTATCGATTCAAATTCTCTACGTTTATTTATTAAAGTTGCGGTATGAAGAAAAGCTGCAGTCTACCCGCTTCCAGTTCTGTTTTCGGGGATCCCTGCCCTGGTACCCTCAAGTACTTAGAAGCTCACTATCATTGCGTTACAGGTAACTCATTCTGAAACTAATTACGTTAATTATGGATGTATAGGACATAATTTTACCTTCGGAATTTTAGAATCTACTACGACTATCGATATACCGAGCACCACGACTACAACATCCACCACTACCACAACGCGACCACCCATCATCATCCCCCTAACAAGATTCACCAGACCAGTCACCGCAACCACAACATGGCCGCTTTCTACCTTATCTACCCTTACATCACGGACTGTTACGTCACGGGTAACGTCATTTATGAGTTCTACTACTAACCAGGGGAATGTTACCATCTGGAGCGAGACCTCTGAAGATACTACTTCAGTGACGGGTAAACAAAGTAATAAAATTTCAATTATTTTTACAAGTTTATACATTTAATCAATTGTTTTAACGTTACAGAACCTGCCACTACTCTTAAACCGAAAACCACGTCGATTACTTTATTTTGCCCCCCTTCTGTATATAGAAACATGGTGTGGAATTGGACCAAAGCTGGTGAGATTGCAACACAGAAATGCCCAGGAGGGGCTTCAGGTTTGTTAATTTGGTTAATAAAAACATCATGTTTGATAGTTGAGGTATGCTTATGCGTGTTTATATTTTATAGGGGTGGCAAAATGGCAGTGTAGTCCCACGTCGATCACGTGGTATCCCGCTCATCCCGATTTGAGCCAATGTAATTCTCTTTGGATCGAGAATCTCAAAGCTAGAGTAAGTGAATGGTGTTAGCAACTTTTGAATAGTTTAGTAATATATTCCATTTCATTCATATGCATATTTAATAAACGTTCAAGTAGCTGTTTTACTGTTTTAACGACGAGATTATGCGCTACATTTTGTGTCGCTTCGCTTTCTCTCCGTAATGATGTTAAGTTCGACTTTATCGAGAAAATTGCCTATTAAAAATAGTAGCCTGTTAAATTTATTTTCGTCTTAAGATCGTCGCATATGCATGAAGTAACTGTAACGATTTCACACATGAATGTACTTTTTTATAAATAACTAGCGCCTCTTCCTCTTTTCTTTAAAAGTATGTCGCGTGTGACGTCGCGATGCGGCGCGCATCTTCTAAATTATTAAAGATTTTTTTCCTCTTTTAAGTAGAGAAGAAAGCCAAAAATTATTAATAAAGCATTAAGTATAAAACTTCGCATCTAGATAAACGATCTTTTATAATATTCTGCATTAAATTATTTTTATTATAATTTTTTTTTATGTTTGCGCGTCGCGAGCGCCAGCCACGCCAGGACGCGTCGCGCTGGTTTACGTGTTTAAAACACACGCAAAACATACGCATAGTTAAATATTTGTAATTATATAAATAAATAAAAAGTTCGGAAGTTAAAATTTATTAATAAATAAAAAAGTACACACTAAAATTTTAAAAATTAATATAAATTTTTCTACACAAAAATTAATTTAATTTAAAGAAAAGACACTCTCACGATTATAACAAACGCAATTTTATCACAAAACGAGGATTTTTTTTCTCTTTTACACTTTGTTTTTGAAGCGAAAACGAGCAGACAAACAGACTAACACTTTTAAAATTATATAAATTAACTAAAATAAAAACTTCCTTATGTTATTTACCCATAAATTTCTTTTATAGGATCCGAAATAATACCATTTTATTTAGTTTTAAATGAAAAATGAACTGGAAACTTTTCTATTTAGATAATAATCTAGTGTTTAAAATATTTCTTATTCTGTATATTTCTGTATAAGAAGAAAAAAATGCAAGCAATTTTCTATTGTTCTCAAATTTTAACCTTAGATAACTTAGCGTTATCTGATGTAAAAGTATCCTGACATTTTGACTTGGGGATAACTCAGCAACAAATGAAGCAAACAGAGTGGAATAAATGGATAACTATAGCAGAAACTGGGAGTGCTATTTACGCTTTTCTAAAGTTTATTTTTGCCATTTTTTCCTTTTTTCTACTAAGAAATTTATCCTTTGAAAACTTGATATTTTTTGTCTCTTTCATAAATACCTGAAGGCAATCGTGCTTCCTGAACATGCAGCTGTCAAATTCAGATGCAGATAGGAATAAATCATAGAATAGCAACCGGTAAACTTCTTTCTCTACTGTTTAATATATATATATAGAAGGCACTTCTGTATATCTAGCCATTTGTTTATGCATTTGAGTCTCTCAATATTACATGTGACAGGTACAATCTCGTCTACAAATATCTGAATGGGGAATAAATCCTGACAACAAATGATTCATTGCAACAAAATGTCCTCTTTTTAATAAATCTTTTATTGTTGATCTACGTAATATTTCAATATTTCCTACTACCTTTGTAAGCAGTAAAAATATAATAAAGATAAAGAAATTTATCATATCTGTCAGAAGATTATTGATAATAATCGTCTTAAGCTTTACTTTTTCTTTTTTTAATTTTATTTTACAGATAAATAATGGAGATTCTGTTGCAAGCATTGCTGCTGAATTAGCCCTCATCACACGAACTAAACCGTTATACGGTGGTGACGTGTTACAAACTATGGAGTTGATTCACAAATTAATATCCAAGATGGCTGACAGGATTCACGATATAACTGACAACAAACAGCGCCAACAATTGTTAGAAGAATTCCTAGAAGTGAGTAATTTCGCTTTTAATTCTTATAAGGTACTAATGGAAACGAAGTACGCATTCTCTTTCAATTGTTGTTATGGCAACCAGTGAAAAAATCCCTTTCACTTTCTCTCTCTCTTCTCTCTTCTCTCCAGCTTCATCTCGATCAGGAGAAGAATTAAAGTTGGTTATCTCATTCTTCGTCATTCTAAGTGAAGCGACATACAACTCTAATGAAAATCCAATGGCAGAGAATCATTTCCTTATCCCATTTTTCCAATATATTCTTGTGGAAATCTGTTTTGGTTTCTTATGAAAAATCGCAAAGATAAACGGATAGATACAAAACCGATAAAATTTTAAGTTGATAATCTTTTAAAGCCACTCTTTTTTTCTTTCTCTTACGATTTTTTTTCCTTATATTCTATCTTTCTTATCGATTTTTCTTCAGTTTGGACAGATTGCTTTTTTGCCTAATTAGAAATCTTTACAATGTTCAGAATGGAATGAGAAATTGCTATTACTTAACGACAACGTAACACAAAAGTATTTAGACATTAAAAGCTTCTTCTATGGCTAAATCGTTGGAAGAAATGGCATTTAGAACAGAAAGTTGATCGTGTTTAACGATGAAAAACTCGTTCGAAGTAGTAAAATAACTTAACATTAAAGTTAAAAAAAATAAAATTTTTTATCGATTATCTTGTATAAAACATTTATTACTACATTAATAATAAATTATATATTAAAAATTTCAAGTAAAATTTATTATTTCTTGACTAGTTTCGTATGTTTTTCTTCATTTTCAACACTTCACAGTTAATAATGGAACGTCGCAACTCTTTTAAATCTCCTTTAAATGAGCATAGTTTTCGAATTTTTTTTAAATTTTAAGATAAAAAAAAATGTTCTGGAAATAATATAAATAATTAAAAAAAAATTAAATTCTTGTTACTTTTATATTAAATAATATCGGAAAAGTAGCTTTTGCACGGTCGATATTTTAATGATTCTCTTTTAAAAAAAAACTGTTTTTTTTCTAAAATATAGTTGTAAGATTATAAAAACTCTGTATATTTTTTAATGCACGTCATTATTAAGTTATAAAGATACAAATTTTTTAATAAAAACACAAATTTAATTCATTTAAATAGCTAAATTTGTCTAATTTCGTGAGATTTGCAACATTGTACAGGATTTAAAACTTCACGATTTGACTCCAATTTGTTAAAAACTTGCAAAATATCTCAAAAAATAATTGTATTTGTACGTATATTTTTACATTTGTGATATAGAAAGGAAATTTATCAAATATAATGATTATTTATTATGATTTAGAGTGTTACTGACAGACTGTACAGAGATGGAAAGACATTCAATTACATATATATCTACTTAAATATCGAAAGTAAAGTCGTATATTGCTTTAAAACATGATGCACTTTACATTAATCTAGAGTAAAGAATACTATATAATGTCGACATATAGCGCTTGTGCATCATTCGCCGAGGATTCATAGCATTACAAGGATTTATATATTGATAAGGAGAAGCAATAATTTAAGAAATGTTTCCTTTACCCTGTTATATATCTTTCCTTTGGAAATATTCCAATATCTTCCATCATTATAAATCTGGATTCGGCTATTCTTGATAGGAGCTTAAAGCTCAATTTTTTATTATTATTATATATATATTTTTATATTCCAGTCCATTCTCGATATCAGTAACAATTTATTAGAAGATAGCGAAAACAATTTTTGGAAAGATCTACCTCCGAGCGAACAAAAAAGAGCTGCTTCAGGACTCCTTCAGGGATTGGAAAGAAGTGGATGGCTTGTTGCAGACACTCACAATCGTCGTTATTATTTGAGCAAATCTCAGAGTAATGTGTGTAAGTAGGGAATTAATATGCTTTGCAACACGTATGATCGATTTATATCTTATTTATTCTGTTTACTATCCCTCAGTAATGACAGTTCGTGTAGTAGATGCGTGGTCAACTTCAGATATCAAATTCCCAGTTGCAGAAGATATAGACGGGAATCCATGGATGAGGATGGAAGATTCTTTACTTCTTCCAACGCAAGCCGTGACTGAAAGTATGTCAACAGGTAAAACTCCCCTAAAAATCAATAAAACTATTTACCGATCAAACATTAAATGTTTAACTTTACTCACGAAGCAATTTTCGATTTTTTTCCTCCTTCAACAATTTATAGGGATGGTAAAGTTAGTTTTGATGGCATACAACAAAGTAGACGAGTTACTGGGTGTAGATCTACTACCGTATACGTCTGCCATCCCTGTATCGAAAATAAAAGAGAGTGATCGATCCCAGAACAGGACTCGTATCATCAATAGCCGACTCTTATCCGCATCTGTAGACGGATATCACGTGATTAGACTAGCACATCCTGTGACGATATCCCTCAGGCATATACAGGTCGGTGCATTTAAAATATATAAAGTTGTAAAAGCTGCGCTGCTTTATTATATATATAAAGCAAATGGAACGACAACATTTATTTTTCCTTTCTTCGAAAATATGTTTGAAAGATAGCGTATCGACTGTAATGTTTTCACATGGACGAATTGAAAGGGATACATCAAAGATATTGCCATTCTCCACTTTTCCTTTCAGTTTGGAGTGCTGCAAATGTTTAATGTTGTTGTTGTAACTTGATCAAATTTTCTTCAATACCTCCCGGCTATATATACTGTATATATATATAACAATATTACTCGAGATATTATGTATCTACTTGTGTTTTGCTATTAAAATAATCATTATGGTATAAATGCAGTTTAAATGTTTACTTTTCTTTCCCCTTTTTTTTCGTTTTAGGAAGAGAATGTGACTAATCCCCGTTGCGTTTTTTGGGACTTTAACATCAGGTAAGCTTAATTGTATACAGTTTTACCTCTTAAAAACCATAAAAAATATATAAATTTATTATATTATTTAGGGCATGGTCTACTAATGGATGCTGGATAATTCGCACTAATTTGACTCATACTGTATGCCAGTGCGAGCATCTGACTAATTTCGCAGTCATTATGGATGTCAATGCTACAAAAGTAAGTTAGTAATAATGCTATTAAAAAATTAATAAATTGTAAAATTCTCTAAAGGCGCCATTTTGAAAGCTTGCGATACAAATAATGAAAATTTTGATAATTTATGGGCGATAATCAGTATAATAACCCTGTTAGAAGATGCGGGGTAGACGAATACTCTCATAAATCTTTCCATAAAACTATACATTATTCATGAATGTTGAATTAATTATCTTTAAAGTGCTGAAATTTTCCGAAATTAGAAATTTACTAAATTTGAGTCAAAGTCGAAAGGGTGATCATTAATCATCTTCTTTCTAGAATTTAATTTTTGGATGATGCTCAAGAATCGGGATTTAAAGAGTCGTACTCAATCTGGGATTTTACATATTAATTTAACTAATTAAGAATATTATAGATGAAAATTAAGCAAGGAAAATTGGCAAATATATCAAAAATAATTAAATTTTTTACCGATTTTCTTTTATTTTTATCACAAATCAATAGAAAGGAGCAAGCTATCTTGTATCATCCCAAATGGTTTCGATCGTTGATGAGAAGATCTAATTTGTACAAAATCGATAATTTGATCCTAACTAAGAATCGAAACGAGCATTTTTACACAAAAGGAAACCATTTTTCCCACCTTCTTCTTCTTAAAAAGTTGCTTTAAATCTTAAAATATTTAAAGGCGTAGAAGGATTTCTCTACTGAAAGAGAAGGATCTATAAACCTCATTATTTACACGAAGCTAGATTCTATCTAAGTTATTCTTGTTTGGAATAGAGTTGGCAGGAGGCCAGTAGAATTCTAACAATTTTATCGAGAGGACCATGCTGATGTGTTTTATATTTTATTTTTATATATATATACAGTATTTCTTTTTTGTTTCATTTTCCCATTTAGATGACTCTCCACAACTCCTTCATTCTACGTATCATCACATATATAGGATGCTCTGTCTGCATGTTATTTCTCTTGGTTACTCTACTATTGCTACAATTTTACAGGTAAGTTTTATATTGTTCAATTTTAAAAAGTTGGATTTTTGCAGATTGGAATTTTTTATTTTGTTTTATTTTCTTATATTATTTTTATTTTATTTTATTTTTTCTTTATTCTTCTGTTCTTTCTGCTTCTTCTCCTTTGAAGAGAAGTGTGATTGATGAAGAATCCCTGACCGGGTCACTCCGGTTACGGAGATTACTCCCAAATTAAGAAGGGTGAAGTCTTGCACCTGAAAGGGCTATATCTTCTTATGAGGTATTTTCTTCCGGAAGTAAAGAAGAAAGTGCCTAATCAATAGAAAGTGAAACTTTTCCGTCTTTTATTCCTCAGCTTCAATGGAAAAAAAATAAAAAAATAAAAAATAAGGAGTAAATTGAATACATTTTACTGGAAGAGAATGGAACTAATTCTAGCTTTCATCACCTCCTGTTTTTATAAATTACTTCTGTTTCTTCCCCCGTACTTATTGGCTGTTTTATTGGGAAAATTTGTTTTTACTTAAATAAAAATTCATTTAATTTTAAAATTTATTTCCTCTTCTTTCTTACTAAAAGTCTTATTGCAGAATACAATTTTATTTACACGCAAGTCTAAGGAAAGTTAGGAAAATTTTCTTTATATTTTATTTACCTAAATCTAACTTATGTTACTTGAGGAAGCGAAAATAATTGAATTTATTCTGTTTTTTAATTTAATTTAATAAATACGTGCGAATTTTAGTAAAGAAATCACGTGTTTTATATCCAGGAAAAAGTCAAGAATCTGATTAGAAAATAAATTTATTCTACTATATTTAAGATCAGAGTTATTTTACGTATCAGTGGAAGACGTGGGTTCGGTTCTCTTTCGAATTTAAAACCATATTCTTGAACTGTCAAGCATTGGTTTTTTAGATGAAATTACATTTGGATTTAGTAATTTTCTCTTTAAAAATCAGCTGTTTTAGTAAATTATTTTAATTTATAATGTATGGAGACAAAAAGCGCTTGTTTTAGTTGAAAAATAATTCGAGTAATTTGCATAATTGAAACTTAATTTTTGTTGCAAAAGTAGTCCCTTTCTAATTAAAACGTTCGGCTTTATTTGCCTTTACAGATGTGTGAAAACCGATCGGATAACCATCCACAAAAACCTGTGCTTATGTCTCCTTTTAGGGGAAGCAATCTTCGTTGGTGGAATCGACCAAACGGAATTTCCAATTGTGTGCTCCATACTTTCCGGATTTCTTCATTACATACTTTTATCGGCATTCGCCTGGATGTTTCTGGAATGTTTTCAGCTCTATGTCATGCTGGTTGAAATGTTCGAGTCCGAAAAATCCAGACTGAAGTGGTACTACACAGTTGCTTATGGAGTACCTTTGTTGGTGGTTGGTATTTCTGCAGTAATTGACCCTTACAGCTTTGGTACCGAGCGTTACTGCTGGTTAAGAGTAGAAAATTATTATATATTTAGCTTCGTTGGTCCAGCTATGGTCTGTACGATGGTAAGTTATACTTTATGAATACATCTGATAACGTAAATGACTCGATTTTGATGTAATATCTTAAATTTATAGGACTTACCAAGATCTTTATTAATTTGTTAAGCGATCCTAAACATTCAAATTCAATTATCCTTAGATTAGTTAGAGAAATACCATAATTTCAAACATTTTTGTTTATTTCTAAACGATATTTATGAAAAAAATACATCAAAGAGGCACAAAAAAATAATTTTAAATACAAAAAAATACTTGGAATATCTATCATTATGGATGTTTCAGGTGGCAAGCGACTAAATAAACCTATGACGTACGAGACAATATGTACTGCACTTAGTTATTTGCTAACTAGAAGCACCTTACATGTAGACTTTCTAAGCATCAAGCAAAGTTGTAGTATATACAAAATATATATACAAATAATTGAAGATTAAATTAAATTTGAAACTTGATTCATGTCTCTCAAACTGTGATTTTAAGCTTAAAGAATCTATATATAAAGTTCTTTAAGGATAGAAAATAAGACGGAAAATATACGATGCAAAATTGTATATGCATAAGGCCGGATTTTCACGTAAGCTAAAGCTTAGGGCCTCACATTTTTATCTATATTATTACCTATTACGTGATGAAAAGGCCTGTTATGTTTTTTAGCTTAGGACCACAAAAAGTCCAAATTCAGTGCTGCGTATGTATATGGATTTTATAACAAAATCATTACTTTTTGAAGAGTTGAGCCAACTAAATTTTATTTTTCTATCCTTATACAAATCGGTATCGTGAAGAGTATTTTAATTTAATAAATTACGCTTAATTCTGAGATATAAACTCGTGGAAATGACATTACGTAGCAAAATTTTTACATTAGTCTGTAAAAGAATAGATGGTTTGTAATAATCACTTTCTAAAAAATTCCAGGCCAGCATGTTATTTTTGGGCCTGATCCTGTGTAGGATATGCTGCCAGTCCAACGGAACCATAGCAGCTAAAAATAAGGAGCAAACGAAATTAACGAGTGCCAAGTAAGTTCAATTCGATTTAAACAATTAACGAGATGAGTGAATAAAGAGGTTTTATGGGACACCCTCGTTAGGATGTTAAAGTTTAAGTAACGTTTACTTTGCCAAGCTAACTGGGAGGTTCTCGCGTGTAATCAGTCGCTCACTGAGTCGAGACTAATCGGTTCCTCTTTTGCATGCCTGCTCTTCACTGAAGTGATGAAGATGCGTTATCACATATCAACCGTCGTCTCACGTAAGGATCTTTCTCAATAGTCTGCTTTTCTCCTTTTCCCCTATTTCCATCTTCCCCTTTTTTTACTGGGATTCTTTAAGGTTATTTTTATGTTAAAGTGAGGGAGGAAGTACATCGTAACCATATCCCACGTGATCGAGTTGACAAAATTGTTTTTATCTCTTTCGGCTACCGTGCCTTCCTTCTCACTTTATATATATATTTATATATAAAAAACATATATGTAACAGATTAATTATGACCATTTCTAAATATATCTTATCTTACAGGGTCTGGAGCAGCGAAGCGTTTTTAGTCCTTCTGGTTCTCGGTTCGACTTGGGCTCTCTCTCTTCTATATTTACATAAAGAATCGACCATTATAGCTTACATCTTCACGTCTTTAAATTCACTTTTGGGTCTTCTAATATTTTCCTTTTATTGTGTGAAGAACGAAAAGGTAAGTAAGGATTCGACTAGATTTCGTAGGAACCCATACGAGTTAATCATACAGGAAATGTGTTTTTCAGGTGAGGAAAGCTTTGCAGAAGTCTGTAAGAAAGACAAGATGGATGCCAGAATGTTTCCGCCCAAACCATAGTCGTGACAGCAGGTCCCATCTATACAGCCAGTCCAATGGGACCATCGCAGGATCTGCACAGCACAGTGTGGGTACTTCCTGCCTTCCCACCCCAACCTCTCTGTCTCCAGGTATTGCAACAGCTGTTGCGAATTATTTTCATTTCGTCCCACTTTTTTCTTTAGTTTCGAACCATCCACAAACTTCCCAAAATCCTATTCATCCCTTTAGTTATTATTATTATTATTATTATTATTATTAATTATTTTTTTTCCTCTCCTTAAATTTTAGCGAATTTTTACAAAAATTTTTTCTATATTTATTTCATTAAACGCTTGATATTATGTATTTTAATTTATGTTCAACGTCTTAATGGCTTTCTTAGCAATACCTGGGTATGTTCAATTTTTGGGATGAAAGTATATATCCGGGAAGATCGTTTTGTGTTACAAAATACGTTTAAAATATACAATAAAAACGAAGAAAAATTGAATAAAATTAAGTTTAAATGGTTGTTTTGTAGAAGAATGTCTTGTATAAATGTTAGGAAAGTTCTTACAAAGTAGAAAAGTCGTGGGTTCGGTTCTCACTTGGACTAGACTCAGTCTAGTTTAATTGACAATCGAACTCAAGATCTTAATACATTATTTATTCCTTTAACTATTCATTTAGTTTTTATAATTAAAGATATTTGTTTAAAGAGCATTAGTTAACATCCTGTATATTAATCAGCCACATTCCTGGATAGCATTGATGATTAACACTTCAGTACTTAACTATATACTAACTATCAGGATACGTTTCACTAGATTTCTAGCTAATATTAACTAGATATAGCCCATTATCAGATAGATTCATTATGGTACTTGAGCATGTTAATGGATATATTCTCTAGAAATTCACTACTGAATATGAATGCTGGGTTCAACATTCAACACAGATGCAATATACAAATTAGAAGCTTTCTCATTGAATTTTTCAGAAAATTTCCAGTTGCAGCTTGAACTTTGATGCAAATATTGAAGTTGAGTAGGTGAAAACTTAAAAATCTAAACAACAGCGTTAATCTAATTGAAAATTTAAACTCCAAACAAGCCAAGGGCTAAGAGTTTAAAAGCAGGGACCACAGACGTTGCTGACACATGATAATCGAGAGGTAATTTACCGCATCAGGTATTTTAATTAGACCTAAAGGGATAAGTAAAGAGAATCTTACTTGCCAATATTGTGCCGCTTAAATGTTAAATTTCCTGCTTAGGATAATATTTTGGCATTTTTATAATTATAATTCTAAACATCCAATTAATTATCTTCTAGTATATTATCACAGTGCAACAAGTTTCTTCGAAAACAAAGTAAAAAAACATGAAGTAAGGTTTCCGGCGAGTTTTCCTCATCGCTTTAAAATCATTTTGTTTATTTTGATGGCATTTTATCTCATCTGAATAATGGATAAACCATTAGAACTATAACAAATTCTAATCATCTTCATGCTTGTTAGTAAGACTTGGAAGACATTTTAAATGCTAAATTTTCGTCATTAACATCTCAATAGTTGTTTTTCTCTAGTTAATTTTTATATATAACTTAGCATTTCATCATCATTTATTAAGTTTTATAAGTTAATTTCCCAAGCAGCATCTTCCACTTAAGTTTAACTTCTAATATTTTACATTTAGGATAATCACCATTATTAACTTGTTATCCTCCTAAGAGACGATTATCAAGTTTAAAAAGGAATCCCTTAAAGAAAAATAAGATTCGTAAATCTTCTTCAATCAATCCTATTTTTCTTTTTCTTTCTTTGTCTGGCACATCGCCAGGGTTGAAACTAATTCTACAAATAAACTAATGTCCTTAGACGAGATTAGATCATACATTCTAAAGAAAATTATCTTAAAGAAGATAATTTCTGTATTAATTCCGAATGATATAATTTATAATTACTTAGAACATTAATATTTAAAGACGTTCTGGTCGGATAATTTTCCGTTTTCTCCAATCTCCTCTCGCTCTTTCTCTTTCCTCTTCCAATCAATTCGATAATGAAAATTGATGTGCGATCAGACGGACAAAAATTGTGCTGTAAATCCTAGCTGAAACGTCATTGATTATGAGAATCCTTCAGGAAAGATGGCAGATAAAATATTTCTTTTCTTGCTTATGATTTTTATGGTTATTATTCTTTTTCTTCCTTGCAGTTACACCATCAGAGTTGGAGCTCATGCATAGCACAACAGCATATGGCGCCAAATGCTACTCTTCTTCATTGCACCACACCAGGTAGAGTGGCATATGTTTAATTAACAATAAAATTAAAATCGGCACTGAATAATTGGGCTTTTTAATCGTTTTTATTTTCGTTTTATACAGACCATCTGTCTATAGTCACACTTAGTAACTTCGAAGCTGAAGAGCATCCATTGAGAAACCTCCGCCAAAGTGGGGTTGATAGACTTTCATCACCCGTACAGATCATCGGACCAACTTACACAACTGATTACGTTAGTAGATGGAGAAAGAACTCGACTCTTCCACGAGAACACGTTAGATGGAGAGAATGCCCTAGGAACTACAGAAAAAATCAAGAGAGACCACCCCCGTTGTCCGACCACATATACGAAACGATCGACGACGAAGTAGTGGAAAAGTACGACCCCAGTTCGGGTTGGGACCGCAAGAGCTCGACTCGTTCCAATCAAAACATTATTAGTTCCTTGACTGCAGTGCTGACAGGATCTCCCCGACCGCGCCATCTTCCTTTATTGAGGGATACCTATCTCAGACCACAGGTGGCATACAGCGGTATACACAGCCCGACCGATTCCGAAAGATCCTCTAGCAGCTTGATGGATGGAAGAAGAGTCAGTTCATCCACATCTCCGGAAATCACGAGCTCACCAGGATTCGAAGCCAACGATTCGCAATTCTTGCAGAGCCTTCCGAATCTCCGCAGCGCGGATAATGTAACTGGAGAATTCTCCCACGTTTCCAAGTACCCGAGTGATAATACAGTTCTAGCAGGTGCAGAAGAGAAAGACTGAAGTGGTTAGGAATGTCTCCACCCAAAATACACAAAATAAATTTGGAAAATATCGGTGCCTTTCCGGGAACCGTTGTGCAACCCTGTGATACGTTTGCAAATTAGAATTTAAAAAAACAAGTGTGTTATTTGTAAATATAAATGGTTCGTGTCGAAGAAAAGTTCGTTAGGATGTCTGATCCTTGCTCAAAAGTCGCCTTGCAACCCTTCAAAAAAACAAACAACCACACAACTGGGTAAATTCCAATATTAAAAGAAATTGTATCCCACGAAGAAGTTCCTCTGTCAAATGCTCTTTTACCTTTAAAAATATTGTTTTTTGGCTGTATAAATCGTTTATATTCTGTATAAAAATTTAACAATATTGAGTATCTCTATATATATAAATATAAATATATATATTTAAAAATTGTCTTCTGTTCACCTTACCCGCATTAAGAATTTTTTACTGGCTATTGAGTTTTCTGTGATATTTTTGTGAAATAAAGTGCATTATCAATACACGTTTCCTTAGTCAATAAATTACTAAGACATTGATATATTTAAGCGAAGATATCTAAGGAACAAGAAGGGAAAAAAATACACTGCTGTATTTAGACAACTTTTGACAGTTTGTAAAATGAAGAAGATGAAACTAAAAATATATATATATAAAATACTCTTTTTTCTGTCAAGTAATGTTTCATTCTTTGATTTCGTAAAGCTATTGAGGGGAGTGAAGTCTTAATGGTTTTCCTGTAGGTTGAATTTTATATATCCAACTTCGGTTCTTCCAACTGTCATTGTTTGACAGATTGGACAAGAGTAATCTAACTATTTCTGCTCCAATGACAGATGGTTCTTTGCTCCGTACTCCCAGCCACTTATGCAACAAAATCGCTACCATTTTCGGACGCAGGTACATTAAAATATATCTTTTCTACACTTTTCTGCACCCTTTTCTACACCTTTCTTCCTCCCTTTTTTACACTTTTCTTCATCCCTTTTCTAACGCCTTTATTCCTCCCTTTCCTACACCTTTCTTCATCCCTTTTCTACACGTTTCTGCATTCATTTTCTACACTTCTCTTCATCTTTCTATACTTTTATGCATCCTGGATACCAGAATTCTTGTATCCCGAATGTGAATGCATTGAATGCAAAAAAGTGTAGTAAAGATACATACATTCTAGAATTCTTAGAAGATACATACATTCTAGAATTTTGAAGGATACAAGCATCTCTTTCTACACTTTTATGCATTTTGGAGACAATAAATCTTTAAGAATTCTAGTATCCGGGTTGCTTAAAAATGTAGAAAAGATAATTCTGAGAAATCTACATCAAGGATTCTGGTATCCTTGTTGAAGAATTCTGACTTGGAATGGTTTTCATGTTATTGAAAAGACCTTCGTTCTTCATTCCACAAGTGCGAGACGACGACTTTCGAGTGGCCAATTATCGGATATTTTGTTTAAATAGCACTCGAAAAATCGGTAAGAATGCTAAATACGTGTCGTCAGATGTAGATTTATTGTTAAAAGTTTCAATCATCTAATTAGAACTTGCCGGTTTTGTAATATTTAAGATAGAAGTCTCGTGAAAATCCTTTAAGAAAAAACGTGAAGTGTATTTCGAGATGAATTAAAATATTCTTCTACTCTGCTACAAATCATGAAAATGTTATTAATATAGCAATAACAAATAGTCAATTGCTCTTTTCGATTCATTTTTGATTAAGTTTTATGTCTTTATGACGTGATGAAGTGGTGATAACTCTGCATTCATTCTTTGAAAATGAATGCGAAAAATACAGTTTTTTTTCTTAAATCAAAACTTTAATTCGCGTAATGATCGATATCGTTAATAAACAGATAAAACTCGATTCTTACTACATTCATTCAAACGTAGAAAGTAAGATCCAAACAGAAAAAAAATGCATCTTGATCCAAGAGAAGATGCAATGTCAAGCTCTTCAGTAGACGAAGAATCGCAGAAGAATTGCATATTTGAAAGCTTAGCTGGTTAGGATATTCGATAATTACTTAGAAAGTGGGTTCGGATCTCATTAGCAGGTTTAAAGATCCTGCTAGTTAGGTCCGAACCCACTACTACAACACGAGAACTTCTTCTTCTTCTTGCAGGTATTTATCCCTTTATAGAAACTTAGTTTATAGTTGTTGATTAACTGGAAATTTAAATAAATTATATCCTATTTAAAATCAGGATTTCCTTTTGATTTTCTGCTAAACTTGAACGTGTCCATTGAAACTAACGATACAGAAATTTATAACATAGATCCAATAGAACCAGTAAAAAAATAAGGAAAGAATTCCGAAGACACCAGCGATTTTTTCCCTAACACTTAACACGTGACAATGACTTGAAGAAGCAATATTTTTCTCCAAATTTTTCTTTTGTTCTTGCTTGTTTGTAACATTCGATTTAATCATTTTAATCGATTCGGATTAAAGTTTTTCGCTGTAAAAGTAGAAAACAAAGAAAAAGTTCTTTCGCTTGATGGCGGACAGAGAGGATGACATAGTTTGTCGTTATCTTGTCTGACTTAACGACAACAGCTGTCTCGTTGATCAGAGAAAGTTTTCCTGTCTTGTAGCAACACTCCTTGTCGTGTTGTTAGCTTCGTTTGCTTTGACACCGTCCCTCGAGAAAGTTAAATAGAATCTAACAAAAAAAATTTTATATCTATATATAAGAAAAAAATCTTATTTTCTACGAAAAAATTAAACTTTTAAGTGTTTTCTTAATGATTTTATTCGTATGTAAACACCACTTAACGCTGAGGTTTTCAGGAGACCGCATCAATTTTTTTTTTGTTGTTTTCAATGGAAATTTTGTATATGTAAATAAAGAAATCAAGTATTTTATTTCATTAAAATTTATTTTAATTTAGTTTAAGTAAAAATATATTTTTAATGCTATAAAATTGTGGATTTTGTAGTTAGAATTTTCAAAAATGCAACGTCTTCTTATTCGAATTTAATGTTATTTTACGTAATATAATCACGTTTTAAATATAAATATTTGTTTAATAACTAAAAATATTACTAATATATTCAATTATATTTAAATAAATTTTAATTAATATTTTTAAAAAATTTAAAAGAAATCAAAAATTAAAGAGGAAACGTCTTTAAAGTTGGCTTCACTGCAAAGTTCTTATTTGATTTAACAAGTTTTACTAATAAAAAATTCTAGACACATAAATTTATTCACATTTTAAAAGTATTTTACATAAAAATTAACGATTTTAGATAAATTTATTAGAATTTTTCACGCATTCTCTTCAAGTTAGAGAAGAAATAAAAAGAAAAAAAAATCCACAAAAAATAAAAGAATAAATAAGATAAAGACAAAAAGTATAAAGACGAATGATGCTAGCCCTTTTCTTAAAACGTCGAATGCGTACAGAAACGTCAAATATACGTATAAGTATAAGAAATTCTGAACACGTCTACAGAGTAGGACGTTTATTGACGTTTGCATGGAGCTATGCTTTAAAGTAGGATTTTCAAAGTTTTCACACAAAATAGATGTATGACTGTCGATAACATCTATAGTTCCAAATGGGAATTTTTTGGAAAGAATGTAAAGGCCATTCGCTTAGAAATACGGGTATTCGTTATACATCTGATGAGTTGGAGCGTAACTTTTTACCTCTACAGTACAGCAATAACTATCGAAGGTAGTAAAGCTGATAAAATTACTAATGTAGTAGTTGTTCTTTAAATAACACAATTTTCTTACTGATATAAAATATTCCCGTTTATTAACTTACAAAAATTAAAATCCATTTTTTAATTTTTTTCTTTCCTACACCTTTCTTCATCCCTTTTCTACACGTTTCTGCATTCATTTTCTACACTTCTCTTCATCTTTCTACACTTTTATGCATTTTGGATACAATAAATCTTTAAGAATTCTAGTATCCGGGTTGCTTAAAAATGTAGAAAAGATAATTCTGAGAAATCTACATCAAGGATTCTGGTATCCTTGTTGAAGAATTCTGACTTGGAATGGTTTTCATGTTATTGAAAAGACCTTCGTTCTTCATTCCACAAGTGCGAGACGACGACTTTCGAGTGGCCAATTATCGGATATTTTGTTTAAATAGCACTCGAAAAATCGGTAAGAATGCTAAATACGTGTCGTCAGATGTAGATTTATTGTTAAAAGTTTCAATCATCTAATTAGAACTTGCCGGTTTTGTAATATTTAAGATAGAAGTATCGTGAAAATNGGATAAAGAAAAAAATACTAGCAAATTTACAATCTCATTATTACTTAAACATATTGTATAATGCGAAAAATTTTATTTTGTGACGATAAAAAAAAGGTTGGTAACATCAAAAACCTCTCTAAAGGGTGCTCATTGTGTGTTTGTTTAGATTCGTAGGTCGTTATTGCTGACGAATTTCATGTTATGGTCCCCGGGTGAGGTTATTTACGTCATAAAATTGCCACCGACGAAAACTATTACCCAACTTGGCGGAAAGTGGACGTGTCTTGCTTTTTTCTGCACAGAATTTAGAAAGTTGGGGACTAGAAACGAAAAGAAAAAGTATTACAGAAGAAGTTTCTATCGTATTGTTAGATTAAAAATATGAAACGGGTAATAGATTTTTAAAAAATATCCTTCAGTTCTCATCACCACCCCTTAATAAAATAGAAAAAAAAACAAAGGCTTCACTGCAAATTTTTGATTGAAATCTACAAAAAATAAACCTGAACTTCTTCGAATCAATCTACAAACAATTCAATCAAACGTTAATAAAGAATAATACAATTTTATTAAATTTTTTTACACTTAATTTATACAAAATTTTACGTGTAATTGGTTAAAAACTTTCAAAATATGATCGGAAACTTTCAAATCCCATAAGAATTGGTTATACGAAGACTTGATAAGCATAATAACTTATAAAATATTTATTACTTAAGAGGATGTAGTTCCTTTAATACCCTAATAGCATAATTAATACATAAATTTCTATTTAATCCTCCTTTCTATACAAGTCGAACGTTGTTACAAGATGAGAAAGTTTTATTAGTAAGTTAGTTTCTTATTCTTTAGCATTATACTAGAGATCATGTATACATTAGTTTATATTTCTTCAGTTTCTCTATTAAATCCTCTCCTAAATCCTTTGATACAGTCCGAAAAAGAATGCAAATTATTAATAATAATTCTTAATTAAACAAAACATAATTAATTACTTAATTACACGTTTAAAAAAATACTAAATAATGTAACTCAACGCGTCAAGATAATCATCATTATCCGTAGAGAAGCATAAATAATTAGACTTACTAAAGAGGGACATTTAGATAATAATCTAAATTAGAATTTTGAATAATTAGATAATTTTGATACAGTACAATTATCATGTAAAATAGCTTTAATAATTTGAAGCGTCGGGCAGACAGATAAACGAAATTTTCTAAAAATTATAACCATTAAATAATTTATATGAAAATTTAATTTGGGAGTGAATTTTGATTGGAATTTTAATTTAAATTATCAGAGACATTGGATACATTTCTAGTTAAGTTATATCTAAGCTAAAGTATCATTTGTTTATCTTTAGTTATCCATAACTCATGATATAACTCCGATAATAAGAGCCTTAATAGTAGATAAAGATGGTAGATTGGTAGAAGAATTGGGTCATTACCTACCATTCATTTACTGCTAAGAACCAATTATAGATTCAGTAAATTCACTCAAGAAAACGTAAAAAAAAGTGCTTTTAACAACCATTAAAGTTGATCTCGAAGTAGATAAAGATGTTAAATAATTGAGATTATTAAGAAAAACCTTTAGTTATAAGCTTCTTGACTGGAGAAAATGCCACTAATATCCATTATCCTCTGTGTTGCACAGCTTAATACTCATGATTCCCAGAGTTGATAAAGATACAAGATAATTTAGGGTGTTATAAGAATGATAACCATTACTTACCATTCATTAAGTACTAAGAATCTAATATTATAGGCGTTTAATAAAGCGAGAAGATATTACACATATCCATTATCCTCGAAGATACCTTAGATAAATATTACCGATCACACAGCTGAGATAATTATGAGGCTATAAAGTATAAGAAAAAACCTCTAATTATTCAAGAAAAGCATACAAATTAGAATTAATTCTAAACTCCTTTTTCAGGATTAAAGATTGGTGAAGATTCTAACGTCTTTCAATTGATGCGGAGGATCAAAAGGATAAGAAGAGTTTTGCTTGGAGCAAACTGTTCCTATGCCTTCAGCAGCTGTAGAGGTATTCAGAGGAGTTTTTCGAACACGACAAAGATTTCGAAGGCTTTTCTGAACCAGGAGCCGATCAATAGAAGGTCTTAAAGCTCATATGTATTCGTGGAACGATGGCCAACGATTAGTTGGTCGTTTCGGATGCCTCATAATCTGGATCGATGGAAGTTGTCACTCGTTGAGAATACCAATGGCTACTTTCTGAACAGATGTATAATAAACAAATTCTTTTATATAAAAATTAATCGTATATTTTTATATCACCTCGTTCTATTTGGGAATATAATACATTAAAGATTTAAGGCATCCATAAAGGGAAATTTAGTGTTTAAGATGAATTTGGAGGAGGGAAGATTAATGCGTTTTTTTTCTTTTTTTTAAAGTTCTTCTGAAAATTAATTTTCGGAGAGGAGTCTAGTTATTTTTAGCGTCAAATTTTAGTATAGAAAATTATATATTTATCAGAAATTTTCGTTAAATTGAAGCGTAGAAGTCAGGAAACGAACGAGCTGTCAAATTAGGGAATGTTGAGTAGCTATTTTCTCTGATGTCCTGTCACCGAATACGACAAGAAAGATCCTAATCGTCGAATAATTAAGGGATAGAGAAGACTTTTCTATTGACATTTATTATAGGAAAGACGTCTTTCATTTCTCTTGATATTTTTATTTAAGAATCTACTTCACGTAGATCGATGGAATTGTTTCTGAGATGTAACCCTTCGAGCCTACGAGGCATTGAAATGATACGAGTCTCAGGAAAAAATATACGTCAAAATCTATCAAAAATGTAGATTCCATAAGGTGTGGAATGCCAAAAAATACATATATATAAGAAAAACTGCACTTTTGCATATTCCAGAGAGTCAAGATGCTTTAGGTTCTTGCTTTCAAAGCGACTTTGAATGTAAAAATATATTTATATATAGATATATAAAAAATTCACTAAGTTAAGTACAATTCTGATAAATAAATACGTAGAATAATTTAGAAAAACATTCTTTTAAGCTCAATCTTTGCGGAAGAAGAAGCAGCTTTATGTTTTTTTTATAGATATAGAAAAGACCTTTTATAAAGGAAGCAAAGACAATATTTAGGTCACAGCATGTTGCACATTTATCGTGTCATCACTTCTTCCATCCTTTTATCTCCTGTTTTTATATATATAATTTTTTTCCCTCCCCTCTTCTAAGTCAAAGAGGAAGACATTTCTTCAGCATTTTTCGGGAACATCCTGTTCTCTGTTGCTGAATAACAAAGTTTCTTTATTCCAGTTTGCACTAACCGTTGACAATCAAGCGATAAAGTGTAGCAATCGAATGGTGGCAGCTTGTTCCAAGTGGATTCTTTCTTCTTCTAATAGCCTTGGCACATGTGGTTTAGGTGACGGTGTGTTAACACAAGCTGGCCCATTAGTTCTGCAATGGTCCTCTCTGATCTACACTATCCAACTACATTGCTATTACTTGTGCTCTTTGTTATTCTTTGCCGTATTTTTACCCCATTCTTTCCTATAAGAATGCATTTCTATAGCTTTTTCATTTTTATTATATGATTAACTCTTTCAGATTTCGCTAATCTACCCTAAAATCCCTATAAATTTAGCCATTAAACGTTCATTTATATATTAATAAATTATATATTTATATAAAAGAAACGTTAATTTAGGAAGTAAATGTAANAATTTTTTCTATATTTATTTCATTAAACGCTTGATATTATGTATTTTAATTTATGTTCAACGTCTTAATGGCTTTCTTAGCAATACCTGGGTATGTTCAATTTTTGGGATGAAAGTATATATCCGGGAAGATCGTTTTGTGTTACAAAATACGTTTAAAATATACAATAAAAACGAAGAAAAATTGAATAAAATTAAGTTTAAATGGTTGTTTTGTAGAAGAATGTCTTGTATAAATGTTAGGAAAGTTCTTACAAAGTAGAAAAGTCGTGGGTTCGGTTCTCACTTGGACTAGACTCAGTCTAGTTTAATTGACAATCGAACTCAAGATCTTAATACATTATTTATTCCTTTAACTATTCATTTAGTTTTTATAATTAAAGATATTTGTTTAAAGAGCATTAGTTAACATCCTGTATATTAATCAGCCACATTCCTGGATAGCATTGATGATTAACACTTCAGTACTTAACTATATACTAACTATCAGGATACGTTTCACTAGATTTCTAGCTAATATTAACTAGATATAGCCCATTATCAGATAGATTCATTATGGTACTTGAGCATGTTAATGGATATATTCTCTAGAAATTCACTACTGAATATGAATGCTGGGTTCAACATTCAACACAGATGCAATATACAAATTAGAAGCTTTCTCATTGAATTTTTCAGAAAATTTCCAGTTGCAGCTTGAACTTTGATGCAAATATTGAAGTTGAGTAGGTGAAAACTTAAAAATCTAAACAACAGCGTTAATCTAATTGAAAATTTAAACTCCAAACAAGCCAAGGGCTAAGAGTTTAAAAGCAGGGACCACAGACGTTGCTGACACATGATAATCGAGAGGTAATTTACCGCATCAGGTATTTTAATTAGACCTAAAGGGATAAGTAAAGAGAATCTTACTTGCCAATATTGTGCCGCTTAAATGTTAAATTTCCTGCTTAGGATAATATTTTGGCATTTTTATAATTATAATTCTAAACATCCAATTAATTATCTTCTAGTATACTATCACAGTGCAACAAGTTTCTTCGAAAACAAAGTAAAAAAACATGAAGTAAGGTTTCCGGCGAGTTTTCCTCATCGCTTTAAAATCATTTTGTTTATTTTGATGGCATTTTATCTCATCTGAATAATGGATAAACCATTAGAACTATAACAAATTCTAATCATCTTCATGCTTGTTAGTAAGACTTGGAAGACATTTTAAATGCTAAATTTTCGTCATTAACATCTCAATAGTTGTTTTTCTCTAGTTAATTTTTATATATAACTTAGCATTTCATCATCATTTATTAAGTTTTATAAGTTAATTTCCCAAGCAGCATCTTCCACTTAAGTTTAACTTCTAATATTTTACATTTAGGATAATCACCATTATTAACTTGTTATCCTCCTAAGAGACGATTATCAAGTTTAAAAAGGAATCCCTTAAAGAAAAATAAGATTCGTAAATCTTCTTCAATCAATCCTATTTTTCTTTTTCTTTCTTTGTCTGGCACATCGCCAGGGTTGAAACTAATTCTACAAATAAACTAATGTCCTTAGACGAGATTAGATCATACATTCTAAAGAAAATTATCTTAAAGAAGATAATTTCTGTATTAATTCCGAATGATATAATTTATAATTACTTAGAACATTAATATTTAAAGACGTTCTGGTCGGATAATTTTCCGTTTTCTCCAATCTCCTCTCGCTCTTTCTCTTTCCTCTTCCAATCAATTCGATAATGAAAATTGATGTGCGATCAGACGGACAAAAATTGTGCTGTAAATCCTAGCTGAAACGTCATTGATTATGAGAATCCTTCAGGAAAGATGGCAGATAAAATATTTCTTTTCTTGCTTATGATTTTTATGGTTATTATTCTTTTTCTTCCTTGCAGTTACACCATCAGAGTTGGAGCTCATGCATAGCACAACAGCATATGGCGCCAAATGCTACTCTTCTTCATTGCACCACACCAGGTAGAGTGGCATATGTTTAATTAACAATAAAATTAAAATCGGCACTGAATAATTGGGCTTTTTAATCGTTTTTATTTTCGTTTTATACAGACCATCTGTCTATAGTCACACTTAGTAACTTCGAAGCTGAAGAGCATCCATTGAGAAACCTCCGCCAAAGTGGGGTTGATAGACTTTCATCACCCGTACAGATCATCGGACCAACTTACACAACTGATTACGTTAGTAGATGGAGAAAGAACTCGACTCTTCCACGAGAACACGTTAGATGGAGAGAATGCCCTAGGAACTACAGAAAAAATCAAGAGAGACCACCCCCGTTGTCCGACCACATATACGAAACGATCGACGACGAAGTAGTGGAAAAGTACGACCCCAGTTCGGGTTGGGACCGCAAGAGCTCGACTCGTTCCAATCAAAACATTATTAGTTCCTTGACTGCAGTGCTGACAGGATCTCCCCGACCGCGCCATCTTCCTTTATTGAGGGATACCTATCTCAGACCACAGGTGGCATACAGCGGTATACACAGCCCGACCGATTCCGAAAGATCCTCTAGCAGCTTGATGGATGGAAGAAGAGTCAGTTCATCCACATCTCCGGAAATCACGAGCTCACCAGGATTCGAAGCCAACGATTCGCAATTCTTGCAGAGCCTTCCGAATCTCCGCAGCGCGGATAATGTAACTGGAGAATTCTCCCACGTTTCCAAGTACCCGAGTGATAATACAGTTCTAGCAGGTGCAGAAGAGAAAGACTGAAGTGGTTAGGAATGTCTCCACCCAAAATACACAAAATAAATTTGGAAAATATCGGTGCCTTTCCGGGAACCGTTGTGCAACCCTGTGATACGTTTGCAAATTAGAATTTAAAAAAACAAGTGTGTTATTTGTAAATATAAATGGTTCGTGTCGAAGAAAAGTTCGTTAGGATGTCTGATCCTTGCTCAAAAGTCGCCTTGCAACCCTTCAAAAAAACAAACAACCACACAACTGGGTAAATTCCAATATTAAAAGAAATTGTATCCCACGAAGAAGTTCCTCTGTCAAATGCTCTTTTACCTTTAAAAATATTGTTTTTTGGCTGTATAAATCGTTTATATTCTGTATAAAAATTTAACAATATTGAGTATCTCTATATATATAAATATAAATATATATATTTAAAAATTGTCTTCTGTTCACCTTACCCGCATTAAGAATTTTTTACTGGCTATTGAGTTTTCTGTGATATTTTTGTGAAATAAAGTGCATTATCAATACACGTTTCCTTAGTCAATAAATTACTAAGACATTGATATATTTAAGCGAAGATATCTAAGGAACAAGAAGGGAAAAAAATACACTGCTGTATTTAGACAACTTTTGACAGTTTGTAAAATGAAGAAGATGAAACTAAAAATATATATATATAAAATACTCTTTTTTCTGTCAAGTAATGTTTCATTCTTTGATTTCGTAAAGCTATTGAGGGGAGTGAAGTCTTAATGGTTTTCCTGTAGGTTGAATTTTATATATCCAACTTCGGTTCTTCCAACTGTCATTGTTTGACAGATTGGACAAGAGTAATCTAACTATTTCTGCTCCAATGACAGATGGTTCTTTGCTCCGTACTCCCAGCCACTTATGCAACAAAATCGCTACCATTTTCGGACGCAGGTACATTAAAATATATCTTTTCTACACTTTTCTGCACCCTTTTCTACACCTTTCTTCCTCCCTTTTTTACACTTTTCTTCATCCCTTTTCTAACGCCTTTATTCCTCCCTTTCCTACACCTTTCTTCATCCCTTTTCTACACGTTTCTGCATTCATTTTCTACACTTCTCTTCATCTTTCTATACTTTTATGCATCCTGGATACCAGAATTCTTGTATCCTGAATGTGAATGCATTGAATGCAAAAAAGTGTAGTAAAGATACATACATTCTAGAATTCTTAGAAGATACATACATTCTAGAATTTTGAAGGATACAAGCATCTCTTTCTACACTTTTATGCATTTTGGAGACAATAAATCTTTAAGAATTCTAGTATCCGGGTTGCTTAAAAATGTAGAAAAGATAATTCTGAGAAATCTACATCAAGGATTCTGGTATCCTTGTTGAAGAATTCTGACTTGGAATGGTTTTCATGTTATTGAAAAGACCTTCGTTCTTCATTCCACAAGTGCGAGACGACGACTTTCGAGTGGCCAATTATCGGATATTTTGTTTAAATAGCACTCGAAAAATCGGTAAGAATGCTAAATACGTGTCGTCAGATGTAGATTTATTGTTAAAAGTTTCAATCATCTAATTAGAACTTGCCGGTTTTGTAATATTTAAGATAGAAGTCTCGTGAAAATCCTTTAAGAAAAAACGTGAAGTGTATTTCGAGATGAATTAAAATATTCTTCTACTCTGCTACAAATCATGAAAATGTTATTAATATAGCAATAACAAATAGTCAATTGCTCTTTTCGATTCATTTTTGATTAAGTTTTATGTCTTTATGACGTGATGAAGTGGTGATAACTCTGCATTCATTCTTTGAAAATGAATGCGAAAAATACAGTTTTTTTTCTTAAATCAAAACTTTAATTCGCGTAATGATCGATATCGTTAATAAACAGATAAAACTCGATTCTTACTACATTCATTCAAACGTAGAAAGTAAGATCCAAACAGAAAAAAAATGCATCTTGATCCAAGAGAAGATGCAATGTCAAGCTCTTCAGTAGACGAAGAATCGCAGAAGAATTGCATATTTGAAAGCTTAGCTGGTTAGGATATTCGATAATTACTTAGAAAGTGGGTTCGGATCTCATTAGCAGGTTTAAAGATCCTGCTAGTTAGGTCCGAACCCACTACTACAACACGAGAACTTCTTCTTCTTCTTGCAGGTATTTATCCCTTTATAGAAACTTAGTTTATAGTTGTTGATTAACTGGAAATTTAAATAAATTATATCCTATTTAAAATCAGGATTTCCTTTTGATTTTCTGCTAAACTTGAACGTGTCCATTGAAACTAACGATACAGAAATTTATAACATAGATCCAATAGAACCAGTAAAAAAATAAGGAAAGAATTCCGAAGACACCAGCGATTTTTTCCCTAACACTTAACACGTGACAATGACTTGAAGAAGCAATATTTTTCTCCAAATTTTTCTTTTGTTCTTGCTTGTTTGTAACATTCGATTTAATCATTTTAATCGATTCGGATTAAAGTTTTTCGCTGTAAAAGTAGAAAACAAAGAAAAAGTTCTTTCGCTTGATGGCGGACAGAGAGGATGACATAGTTTGTCGTTATCTTGTCTGACTTAACGACAACAGCTGTCTCGTTGATCAGAGAAAGTTTTCCTGTCTTGTAGCAACACTCCTTGTCGTGTTGTTAGCTTCGTTTGCTTTGACACCGTCCCTCGAGAAAGTTAAATAGAATCTAACAAAAAAAATTTTATATCTATATAAATTTGCAAAATAATAATAATAATAATAATAATAAAACTATTACTTCACTTCAACGAATTTTCACATTTGAAAGAGAGCATAAAATTTCAGTTGTTAAATTAAATTGCAAAGTATTGGAATGGAAGAAATAAAATTAAATCCTTCGTGCCACCTTTAAAGAAGTGAAAAGGAAAAGAAGGAGGAGAAGGAGGGGGGAAAAATATATATATATACATTTATTTATTACAATTCTTCTATTTTCGATATAAAGTAAAGAACGATAAAACTGTTAAAGTTTAGAAAGGAAAAAAAGAATTCTTTAAGTAAACTATATGCATCAGTAACCAACCGGTTCTTTGATATAAAAAAAAAATCTAGAGAATCATTTTTGATGGAATTGAACCATCTAATAGACGTTAAATGTGTGGTAAACCTTAATCTTAAACGTCTTCATTTTTATAGTTTCCTTGGAAAAAAAACACCTCATTTCTCGCCTGACTGTTAATGTCTACATTTTAAGATGCCAAAAAACGATAAGAGCCATCTTAAAATTGGGATTTTAAAGTAAAAGGATAAACTCCAGTTTTCAACTTTACCTACTCCATCATTTTAAGCCAGCTTAACTTTTTTTTCCAATATATAAAAAAAAAAAAAAAAAAAACTGGTGGATATATTAAACGTTGCTATACTCAATCTCGAATTTACCTGTCGTAAAATTTCAATCAGTAAGAATTCTTTAGAATTTCAATAATCTTCATCCTCCTCTTCTTCCTCCTCCTCTTCTCCTCCTCCTACTCCTGCTCCTCTCTCTCTTTCTTCAACAGTTTGATTGCTTCAGTAAATCAAGAGATTTCAAACATTCAGTTTAAATTTTAGTTTAAAAAAAAATGATTTATTTTTGTAAATGGTTTAAAAAATTTTATATGTATACACATATATCTTTAATACGGAAAAGATATTTTTGGGAAAACTACTTCAGTTTTCTTTGATGAAGAGCGCATTTCTGATATTGCAATAATATGTTTCAATAAGTTTTATCGATCAGAAACATAGAAAATTTAAAGAAGAAAACGTTTGTTAAGCTAAATGGGTGAGTATTTATATATATTTTATGGTTATTCTGTCTTTGGAAATATTGTTTGCTGACAATTCTTGGGTTTAGATTGATGTTAAAGGGAGTCTTCTAGCTGGAAAAATAAATTTGAGGTTAAGAGCGAGTTTATCCTTTAAATGAAAATCAAAGCAGAAAAGTAAATTATCCACCCACTAAGTTAAAAAAAAAGAGAGGAAAAGAAGAGATTTATAGGTCTACTCTAAAATCGAAGATGCTCAGGAAGAGGAGAAGGAGAGAAGCGAGAGGAAGAGAAAGAGAGAAAGTTTATGAAAATTAAAGATCAGCAATCTGCTTACTCGACAAGATTTTTAAAGAAAAATATTCCTGTATAAAAATTTGAAATCGGATTAATATGATATTTCTGGTTTAGGAAAGAGAAATTCGATCCAAATGAAGAAATCCATGCATTACTGTTCTGCTGGAGTACACGACGATTAATAACATGTGGAGCCACTTCAGGAAATATAAATGATCTACTCTTGGAGAAGAAGTCGTTTATCTAATGTTTCTACTAAGGAAAAAAAAATCGCCTTACTTTGTTTGATGTAAGGCTAAATGGTGAAATCTTACTCCCAATGTCTCTCAGATAATTGCATGGATCATAAATTCTCGAACAATTTAACGAACGTGATCGATTGGAAAAATCATTTTAATTATGGGATTTAATGGGTTATTAACAGTTAAATTTTGGAGAAACAAATTTTAGAAGATGAGCTTTGAATCTTTAGCTGTTTAGTCCCTTCTCATTTATTGGGATTTGTCTTTGAATGGGACGTTTGTAAAAATTAAATCCTTCACCAGAAGAATCATAAAGAAAGAATGATGCTAATGGATTGTTGTGATGCATCTCCTTTTTTATTTTATTCTTTCGATTTTATCTATGCTCACTCTCCTTCGATTTAATGCATTATTAACTGTTAAATTTTGGAGAAACAGCCACAAAGACGAGATGAATCTTTGTTTATTTAATTCTTTCACGTTTATGGAGCTTTGTCTTAACTTAGAAGAAAGGTTTTGAATCATAAAGAAGGATGCGGATGTATTATTACGTTATTATTTTCTATTTCTTCTATGCGGCAAGGAGGGATCCAGAGTCCATGGCATCTTTACTTTCGTAAATAAATAAATAAAGAAAAATTAAATAAGCACGGGAAGAAGCCTCTTCTTATATCTTTGGTCTTTAATTTAATTACCTCTTAAATACAGTATTAAGTTTATAAAAAACAATAATAAGTCTTGATTTCAATGATAACGTTTAAAAGAATTAAATGTTTGTAAAGAAGAATCATAAAGAAAAGAAGGATGCTGATGGAGTATTTGCACTATTTACTTCTTAGTTTATCTCCTGTTTTATTTTTCTACCTCGTTATACTCTATTTAATTCGTTAATAACAGTTAAATTTCGGAGAAGCAAAACTCATAAGACGAATCGAACTTTCATCTTTTCAATCTTCTCTCATTTAACGTTTGTACGTTCGAATGCCTTTGTATATATAAACGTTTTGCAGGAATTAAACTCTCCGAAAGAGAATCATAAAGAAAGAATGATGCAGATAGACTATTTCTTTGCTATTTCCTCGTCTTCTAAGCGCCTAGGAAAATCCAAACTGGTTATCGATATGCGGAATGTCGCACGTAAATTCGTTGCAGATTTATAAAGATCTCTAGCAGCTGCTCCGAATTGCTGTAAAATATATCA